AGTAATAACTTAGACTGAATGGAGTATCTTAAATTATGGTCGCAAAGGAGAATAGCTTGCCAAATTCATTGTTTTTCAAGCCTTAAGATCATCCCAGCAAAGCACGGATTATGCCAACTATGCTACCACCAAGAAAAGCTTTCATCAATCTTATCTTTTTACTTGTATATGGTGGGTATCTCAAAGGTGCATCACCAGCAAAACTGCGGTACAGAACTGCCTTCTTATGGCTAAAAGTATCAAAGGAGAATTTACCATGGTACGCACCCATTCCGCTCTCCCCAACACCTCCAAAAGGTAAACTGTGTACGGCAAGCTGCAAATTTAATAAGAATGTAAATAATAGTGAGTTTAATGGTTAAGTTGAAACAACAAAGTACCTGACTTTTTAGGTTAATTGATTATTTGTAAAAGGTACATCTTTAATTTTAAGTGTTGGGTTCAAATCCTCCTCTCTAAATTTATAATTGTTTAAAAAATAATGATAATAACCATGAAATGTTATTTGACACTAATGCTTCCAATGTTTTTCACCAATCTAACCACTACGAGAGTCTATATCTATTGCACATGCTCAGTATGTCTATTTATGTTCTTCATCTATATCTGTTGAAACATACCCAACAGAGAGACTACGTACCCACCAATTGTTTTGTAGATATGCATGCATGGATGTTTCTACAGTTTCATGTATACTTACATGTACAGCAGTGTCATTGACAACCAAACCGCCTGCAGAGACAGTTACAACAAACTGCTCTTTCAGCTTCTTGTTGTTGCTGAATAAATATGCTGCAAGTGGCTTTGTTCCTGAAGAATTTATGACATTAAAACTGTCTTCAACTTTGTCAACCTGCCACAGGACCACACAAAACATCATGATATACCAACAATAGAAGTGGAAGATTACTGAGCAAAATTTTCTATAAGTCATACATTGCAACTTCGTCCACAAATAAAAATAATTGACCTCTATCTCGAAGATCATCATTTCCAGCAAAACGTTACAAAAACAGGCAGCTAAATAGAAAATGCATTTTGTTCATAAAATTTATTTTACTAATACTGGAATCGACTAAGATATCCTATATTTTCCAAGTAGAAAAATTAAACAACAGAACCTTGGAGAAAACTTCTAAAAAATTCGTAATAACTAAAATTAACTGCAATTAATCCTTTCATATCTTACTGTGATAATTGGAAGTAAAGGGCCAAATATCTCTTCATTCATGATCAGAGAGTCTCTTGGGACGTCAAGCAAGATAGTGGGAGCAATCTTCCTGCCATTGCAAGAAAAACGCATTAATGCCATAATTGGTCCTCGTACAATATATTAGAAGGTAAAGTATAAATGCACCACAGAACTCACAAGTTTGTTTTGTCTCTTGCACCTCCATGGACGATCTTACCAGAAACCTTATCATCATCCAAGAGCTTTGACAAGCGAGCAAAGTGATTAGAATTGACTATGCGAGAGAGGTCTTTGGATTCCAGTGGATTCTTTCCATAAAATTGTTCCAATTCATGTTTCAAAGCATCTACCTAGAGGATAAAAGTTAACCTTGAAAAACTGAATTCAAAGAAATAGACTTTGAACTTTGATGCATATCAGAAACCTTACCAATTTCGGTGTATAATCTTTTGTTGTTATAATGTAGTCGGGAGAAATGCAGGCTTGTCCGTTATTACAACCCCACTTGCCCATAATTATCCGTCTAGCCGTGACCTTCAAAATACACAGCAAATAGCAGCTTGTGAGTGATAAGTCAAGAGGTTGCAAAAGGACCCACTCATGCCTGCAGAGGAAAAGGCAGAGTTGATTACTCGTAAATTGATGCCTGAATCAACAATCACTGGACACTTTCCTCCAAGCTCCAAGACAACTGGTGTAAGATGCTTTGCGGCAGCTGCCATAACAATGCGTCCAATTCTTCCATTGCCTACAAATTGAAGGTCAATCTCTTTCATGTTATTCTATATTCAGAGTTGGAATAACAGACTAGCTTCTGAATGACCAAAGCAAGTTTAAGTAACAATTAACCAGAGTTCAAAACAGCTGACACATTTCCATATTTGTCCAGCACATTTTCCACTTTTGACACATCATTTGGAGACAGAGACATGGTAGATGAATGAAAAGAAACTTTAATGACAACATTTCTGTGCCAATATCTTTGCAAAGGATTTATGTTAGTTTTAAAATATAATGATAAGATACAATCTGAAAAATGCCTGTCACAATGTATTGTTCCTCCTAGAATCTCAAACCACATAACTAATCAAGATCGTAAGCTTAAGCCAGGAGAATGGCAAATGATCACCTGTATACAATATTTTGTCCCACTTTTGATCCAGTAGTGCTGATGTTTCAGGAACAGCTCCTTCAACAACTCTTATGCAGGAACTATCTAAATATTGGCCTACCAGTCTTACAAGCAGGGAGGATGTGGCAGGAGCAATTTCTGACGGTTTTAGAACTATAGCATTACCAGCTGCTATAGCTCCAACAACTGGATCAAGAGACAACACTGGGAAAGAGAGAAACCGAATGATAGACATCATTCACACAGATTTCAAAAGAAATCAATATATATGCAAAACTATAATTAAGGTCACCAAATTCTTAACCTACAAAAAGGAAAATTCCATGCTGAGATAATTAGCACAACACCCAAAGGTTCAGACACTGTTTCAGCAGATGAAGGAAATGTGGTTAATGACGTTTTAGCCTGAAATGAAGGACAAGATATTGAATTGCGTTAAATTCAGTCATTGTGAATGAGGCATCTCAATAAAGCTTCCATCAAGTGGAGATTTATAGAAGAAGAAGAAGAAGTTTACCTTTTCAGGCATCATCCACTGTTTCAATTCCTTGAGTGCCAAAACACAAGAGTTCTTTAGTAGAGCTATCTGCATGGTATAGCATATCATGTTTAGAGGAGGATGAAATCTTAAGAATTTCATTTTCAATTTCTATACAATGGAGGTAAAGCAGTGCATGTTAAACTCAAAGCAGCCAAATAAACATAGTCTTGATTTTTGAAGCTGTTATCATCCTCATCTTTCAGCCAAATAAACATGGTCTTGATATATTTCTCTTTTTCTTTCATCTTCTTTCTTTCATACTACACCCAAATTCAATCTATAAAGCGAGAATGTCAGGAAAAGTTGGTTTGCCATCAATGCTCCTTCCTTCTGCCCATATTCTATAGTATATTACTACAAAATATGAAAATTCTCCTGTCAGAGGTTACCATTCTCATCCGATTTAAATGTCATGAACCCAAACTCTAACTTCACAAAGCAGCAGAGTAATGAATGCAAACAGAATCAGTATTCTATTGTGGAAAAAAAAAGAGTAATGAATTATACTACAGTGCAAAAACATGTCTGGAAGCAGGATTTTAAGTAGGGACCTCATAGATGGAAGACTCGAGTTCAGGCTTCGACAGATCGTCACGGAGAGCGGTAAGGATCTCCGGCTCGTGATCTTCCATCATCTTGATCATGCCCTTCAACTGAGCCACTCTCCAGTCATAGCTTCGAGTCTTTCCTGCTGCGAAGTTGGCTCTGAGCTCCTTCACCAGCAAACTGCCCGCCTCCTGATCGAACACCGGTTTCTTCATCTCCTCGCTCTCCATAATCAGCAGCAACCGCAATCTGAAAAACCGAGAGGAGCAGAAGTGTGGAGAAATGCAGATAAAATCTGACGGGATTTGGTTTTTAGAGAGATTTCACGCCGGCGATGCGAAGCGATGATGCTGACCACGTCAACGTAGTTTTATTCAGGGGGCTGTTTGGTAGTTTGAAAAGTTTTTCATCTTCCGATTTTTATATATATATATATATATATATATCTTAATTTATCCACTTTTATTTCATGGGAATTAAATTTAAAATTTTTTATTTTTAATAAAAAGATATTATTATTAAATTATTTAACTTTTTTACTTCTGTAATTTTTAATATCAAAAAATCAGTTTGTGATTTCTTTCTTTTTTAATCTTAATTAAATAAGAAATAATTTTTTCTTATTTTGTATCTCATTTTATTTACATGTCACGTGATTCGAATTTATGATTTTGACTTTTTGTCAAAAAAATTTATTATTAAATTACTTAAGTTATTAACGAATCATTTTGTAATGAAAATTGCAACTAATTATATAAAAATGACCATTGGATTAAGGTGAGCACTTTAATATTGAAAATTTTCTATGTCTAATTATCTCTATTTTATAATTTATAATTTAAATTAAAAAACATAAAAATATTTTAATATTTACTTTTTAGCTTCTATAAATAATAGTAGTAGTATTTTTTTTCATCTCTTATTTAAATAGAGAAAATTTCTGCAACTTTACTAACATGTTTCATTTCTGCCAATTTGGACCTCGAATTTAAAAAATTCCAAGGTTGGTGCAAAATTATTAGGATAAAATTTGGTGAAGTGTCCCTAACTTCTAAGGACGTTCATTAGGTCGATAATCTCTTAATTGTTGCAATTAGGTCTTTACTCTTTTAAGTTCAGTTTCAATTCATCTAGATGCAATCAATGGAGATGGAATAAAATTGACAAAGAAAAAAAAAAAAAAAAAAAGGAATAAAATTGACAAAGAAAAAAAAAAAAAAAAACCTCTAACATATTTATCTCTTATTATCGCAAAGAGATGTGCTTCGGTCAATATGCAAGTTTTTGAAATTAAAAATAAAGTTTTTGAGATAAAATTGATTTTAATTTTTTGAAATTAATATTTTATAATGTAAGAATTCATTTTCAATGTAAAATTTGATTACCTTAACTCAATTTGATAAGCATCCTAACCTTTATTTAAAAATAATTCCTAAAATTAGCCCCTAATCAAAATACCTATACATTATGGTTGTTGCCCTTATATAATTTTTGTTTTTACATTTGATTATCCAATTTGAATATAAACTTGAATAAGATTGGGGTCTCAATTATAACCATTGAAAAGCTAGGGACATAATTTTGTCGTGCTTGCGAGATTGAGGAACTAACTTGCAAATGCCCCATAATTTTAATAAAACGTGAAAATCAAAAGCCCAATTTTCAGGAACCTTGTCTAATAAATTTAATACCATTACAGTCCAATTTAGTTGCAATAGTAAAGTAGTTCTCACTTGCCATCTAAAAAGATATTAAATATTACTATTTTAATTTTATCTTTAGTTGTTAGGTTTGATGTGACTTATTTTTTAAAAATTAAGAAAAAATTAATCTAAAATTATATTATTTTAATAAAATATCACATTTAAGAACTAAAAAAAATCTAATTTATATTTTAAAAAATATATATTTTAACCTTTATTAAAAATTATTTTAAAATTATATAATTTTAAAATAATTTTTTTCATAATTTTTAAAAAATTATTTTTAAAAAGTAAGATGAATGAGCCTTTTTCTCCCTTTTCTTCATCGTACAAGAGTCTTTTACTTCACTTAAAAGTAAAAATTAAAGATAAAAATGAGAAATAAGTACCAAATAAAGCTTTTCCATAATCATAAATATATAAAGTGAAACAATTAAGTTAGATGATATAATCATTGTAACATTACATAAATTCACTTATTTAATAATATAATATAAAAAAATTTATAAATTTACAATTACATTGAAATTATATCATTCCGGATTGAATTTCTGTTTCGTACACTTCTTAAGTGCATATCTGGTTCTATATGTTTCAACATCAGCTAGAAATGTTTTGGTGTCCTAACCACCGACTAAGTACCCATTATTTGCACCTATAATTTTCTATTTGGTGGGCAACCTTTTGAATTCTTGCTAGTTACGTAAAATAATATTTTCTTTTTCTATTATATTTGTGAAGTTGAATCACATTAACAGATTTTGAACTAACAACATGTTAGTTTGAATTGAAAAAACTCAAATTTTTTTAAATAAGGTTTTGAATTCGAATATTGTGAATAAATAAATAGGTATTGAGAGAGTTTTTCTTTAATGGAGTTTGAACGTGGCTCGATTCTAAGTTAGTTGGATTCAATGTAATTATCGGATACCAGGCGGTTAATACAAAAAAAAACCATTAACAGATTTTGAAAACTTAGTATGTATTTTGTATAAGTGTTAAAAAAATATATTTTATTTTTCTATTTTATTTGTGAAGTTGAATCACATTAACAGATTTTGAAAAATTAGTATATATTTTGTATAAGTTTTAAAAAAATAAGAAAAATAATAATAACTGAAATTAATTTAACTATATCAAAATTAATATTTTTAATAATATATTGTGTAAAAAAGTATAATGAAAAAGTAATCCAAAGGCAGCATGTTTGTAGTTTTATGTCACTTTTATCATCGGTAATAAATATAGGCCTATATTGGGCCTTAGTGAGATGGGCTAGGAGTTAGCCTTTTATTATTCGGGTCAAATGAAAGATGAGGCCGATCCAACATTATGCAGGCTTCCAAAACTAGTTTCTTTTTCTGTTTTCAATTCAGATTGCAGTTGGGTTTCTTATAATGGGCTTGGGCCTATGCAATTAATTATAGTTTTTATTAGTTTATTTTTTTTAATTAAGTAAATAGAAAACATTTAGAAACAAACTTTTTTTATTATTTTTTATATAATTTTATTTATTGTTTAAATTATTATTATTATTTTTTTTTAACATTAAGTGGGACTCGAACTTTGTATCTGTTAAGTTTAGCGCAAGAAAATTTTTACAAGGGAAAATAACGATTAGGTTATAAAAATATTTTTAAAATAATTAATTTTTTATTTATTTAAAATTTATCATATTAAATTTATCATAATTAAAAATTTTATAAAAAAAAGATAAGCACTTGAACTTTTAGATTTAATGATACCAGCCTACATATAAGTGTATTTTCCCACTCTTAATAACGAATCGAATTTAGCTGATAGCGAATTTGTTCAAAGAATATATATATATATATATATAAAAGGGTAGGAAAAAAAAAAGTTATTCTTCATCGCGTAAATTTTATAAAAAAAGGATAAGCACTTTAACTTTTAGATTTAGTGATACCGGCCTACATATAAGTAGTGCATTTTCCCACTCTTAACAACGAATCGAATTCGACTGATAGTGAATTTGTTCAAAGAATATATATATATATAAAAAGGTAAGAAAAAAAAAAGTTATTCTTCATCGCGTAAATTTTATAAAAAAAAGATAAGTACTTTAACTTTTAGATTTAGTAATATCAGCCTACGTGCATTTTCCCACTCCTAACAACGAATCGAATTTGACTGATAGTGAATTTGTTCAAAGAATATATATATATAAAAGGGTAGGAAAAAAAAAAGTTATTTTTGATCACGTAAATTTTATAAAAAAAGGATAAGCACTTTAACTTTTAGATTTAGTGACACTAGCATACATATAAGTAGTGCATTTTCCCACTCCTAACAACGAATCGAATTCGGTTGATAGCGAATTTGTTCAGAGAATATATATATATATAAAAGGGTAGTAAAAAAAAAAAGTTATTCTTCATCGCGTAAATTTTATTAGACATTTATGCTGCGTGCATCCTTATATTTTCTGATTCTTCAGCAAAAGAACACTAAATCCTAATCTCGTGCTCAACTGAGGGCCTCCGCTTGTTTCTCAACTCAATGGCCGAGCAATCACCGGCTGACACTTCCGTGACAAATGAGATGCAGTCACTCTCCCTCGACTCCGATGTCCAACCCTCTTCTTCTGCTTCCACCCCACAGTAAGATGTTTCTGCTATACTCTTGATTCACTTCTTTTTTCTTTCTTTTTTTTTCAAAATTTTTTTTTTATCATCTTTGATTGCCAGTTGAGAAAAAGAAAGGTGGGTGTTTGAATTTCGGGGCTGATGATTTGTGGGTTGTGATTGGATATTATGTTCAGGATGAGTGTGGAGGAAAAGTTCCGGATAGTAAGAAGTGTTGGGGAGGAATGCATACAGGAGGATGAGCTGCTGAATCTTCTCACCAACAAGCCTGAACCCATTTGCTATGACGGGTTCGAGCCGTCAGGGAGAATGCATATTGCTCAGGTCTGTTTTTCTTCAGTGGTCCATTCATGGAAAGCCGTTTTACTTTCTCATTGATTTCAATGTTCTGTTTTGATTTGTGTAGTTTTCTGCCATTTATATTGATTTCCTTTTCTGCTTGTAACTGTTTTCTTCCCCTTTGTAACGGATTTATTTTCCTTTGTCCATGAACAGGGCATCATGAAGACGATAAATGTGAACAAGTTGACATCTGCTGGGTGCAGGGTGAAAATCTGGATTGCAGACTGGTTTGCACAACTGAACAACAAAATGGGGGGTGACCTGAAGAAAATCAAAACAGTTGGAGCTTATTTGATTGAGATATGGAAGGCTGTTGGGATGAATCTTGATAGAGTAGAATTTCTGTGGTCTTCAGAAGAAATTAACTCCAGGGCAGATGAGTACTGGCCTCAAGTTATGGACATAGCTCGCAGAAACAAGCTTCCTAGGATAATGAGGTAAAAGAGTTGACTTGGGTTTTCTGTTTTACCTGTGTAAATAGTCGAGTTTTGCTGAAAGTCTAATTCCATCAATTAAATGTTTTGCTTTTCAGGTGTTGTCAAATTATGGGCCGCAGTGAGCAAGATGAGTTGACTGCGGCACAGATTCTCTACCCATGCATGCAATGTGCGGATATATTTTTCCTTAAGGTGCTCATGTTTCTTACTTCTTCACTTTTTGGATGAACAACTTTTAGTAAAGTATGTGAGGTTGGTTGACATGCAATTCATTGGAGAAGGTTCTTATGCCTCCAACTTTCTTTATCAATGCTGACACTTTGTATTCACAATTATAATATTTAGCCTGATATGGTTCTCTCTCACTGACATACGTCTTCTATGGAAATATTATCCTTGTACTGGTCATTGTATTAGGCTATCGGTTGCTCTGTGGAGTGTGGATACTGCTGGGACATTTTGATTGATACTGGGATTAACTTATATGTTGGTTTTCCTATCTTTGAAAACAAAATCAAAATATCTGACTTTGACATTGGCTTTGGTTCTTTATAACACATGAGATGGATGTCTGTATGTAAGCATATTAGGCTATTATCCTTGTTTGTATATTTATTTTTATGCTTTGATATAGGTTGTAATTGTAACTACATATTTTTTTTATGTGGATTATCTAATATCCATTGCCATTGCAACAGGCTGACATTTGTCAGTTGGGTATGGATCAACGGAAAGTCAATGTGCTTGCACGAGAGTACTGTGATGATATCAAGAGGAAAAACAAACCTATCATACTGTCCCACCGTACTTTCCCATTTATCCTCTTTCAAACATTGTTCTAGTCTCTGTTCTTTATTTACATTTGTCTTAGTCGCTCCTGGATACTGTTATATGCAGATATGTTACCTGGTTTACAGCAAGGCCAGGAAAAGATGTCAAAGAGTGATCCTTCATCATCTATCTTCATGGAGGACGAGGAGGTACCTTATTATTCCATACAAGGGGTTGACATGTGGACTTTCTTTGATCAAAATGCCCTAAAAGATTTTATTACTGGCTTAAATCTCAAATGCATGTTGCCACCATTTCTAATGCTTCCTTTGGTTGATATCACAGGCAGAAGTAAATTTCAAAATTCAAAAGGCATACTGTCCTCCCAAAATAGTTGAAGGAAATCCATGTCTGGAGTACATAAGATACGTTATCCTTCCCTGGTTTAATGAGTTCAAGGTGGAGCGTGCTGCAGACCATGGTGGTGACAAGTGAGTATGGCATTGTGTTTCTTCTCTTGCATTCTGCACTTATATTTTTTATGAAGAAGATTGGATATAGTTTGTTTAACTAATTCATAAGCCTTGTGACATGAAGTAGGGAAACTCCCTTTGCTGCCCTTATAATTTTTTCTTTAAAAAATTATCATTATAATTACCATTTTCTGTGAGTCTGTGGCATGATATTTATATAGTTTTATTTCAATTCAGGATCTACCAAAGCTTTGAAGAACTTGTTGCTGACTATGAAAGTGAGGAATTGCATCCTGGTGACTTGAAACCTGCTCTTTCAAAAGCATTAAATAAGATACTGCAGGTAAGCATGCTTTTATTCCCTTGGTTGTGCATTTTAAAAGTTAATTTCTCTTGATATGTTGATGTGCAGCTTATTTTTGTGTTATAGTTTGTTTGTGATATTCACAAACAAGTACTAGTGGGAACTTATTTCCTTTTCCTTTTCATTTATTTTTGTTGCCATTAATTTAACTTGTTCATCATTTGCAGCCTGTGCGTGATCATTTCAACAACAATGCTAATGCTAAGGATCTGCTAAAACGGGTTAAGGTATTAATGCTTATTCCTCTTTACTTGTTCCCTAAACAAGACCAACACGTGTTTTACGGTTCTTTGTTTTCCTGTTGGAGTTTCTGTCTTGCTGAAACATAATACAAATGACCAGCTAGGGTTATTATTAGTTCACCTTACAGAATATTTCCAGATGGGGTAAATACTATTCTTTTGTCCTTAACCTTAATGGTGGCTTGCAAAAGTCATGCTCAACCTTTAAAACTATTTATAATAAGCTCCTATTGGTCAATCAACTCCGTTAACTCGGACATAAAAGAAGCTAAAAAATCATCATTTTAGCTTACAGAGTCCACGCAAGGTGCCACATGGAGTCTGTAAGGCAGGAAAACTTTGGTAACTTGTGAGAAAAATCATCTCTTTACTTTGCATCCAGCCCTGAGAGTCCATGTGGACTCTTCTGAGTTAAACAATGAATTTTTTATGTTTTTTCTGTCAGACACAAATGCATAATGGAAACGATAGATAGAAAAGATTATATTCCAATGTTTTAAAAAGTTAAGGACCTAATTGCTCGGTTTTGAAGGTTGAGAACTGACTTTGCAAGTTACCTTGATTTTTAGCCAATAGGAATAAAAATAAAATTTACACTTCCAGGTATCATTTTTCATCGTTACTGAATTTAACATGTTATAATCATGCAGGGCTACAGAACCACTAGGTGATTTTTGGAAATGATGAGAGAATTTTGCTTCTGCTTGTCCTTTGTTGTGTCACAAAGTTACAGAAGGATAAACCTACAGTTGTTATATGTCACTTATTATTAAACGAACAAACGCTTGCATCAACTTTTCTTGAATTACATGCAATTTCCAGTAAGAAAATAAAACTGTACTTGATAAACAGATCGAATGCAATGATAGAATTCGGCCTGAAAATCTTTT